GAGTAGTGGGGCCCTGGGCGCACAGGCACTGACCCCAGCCATGCTGAGACACCACCTCCCAGAGTAGTGGGGCCCTGGATGCACAGGCACTGACCCCAGCCATGCTGAGACACCACCTCCCAAAGAAAGATGTTGTGGGCACGCGGGTACTGACCACAGCTGGGGGGCAGCAGGCCGTTCAGGTAGGGGGAACTCGCTCGCTGCAGCTCGTCCAGCTTCTCCCGCAGCTTCCGCACCTGGCTGTCGGAGCGGCTGACCCTCTGCCGCAGGCTCTTGAGCTCCCCGTTCTTCTTCTCCACCTGCTCCCGCAGACAACACACCTGGCTCTTGCTCTGCCGCGAGGAGAAGCAGTAGGAGTGCAGCGAGTCGATGAGCCTGCAGGCCCCGGAGGCCGACAGAATGACCTCGTTGATGGACATGGGGCTGGCGTCCACCTGCTCGCTCTGCACGGCTTCCGCGGCCGGCTGCGGGGTGACGTCGGCTGGTGGGGCCGAGGGGCTCTGGGAGGGCTTCTGGGGTGTCGCTGTGAGCGACGAGCTCGGGGGACTATGGGCCAAGCCCTTGTCAGGCCCCAGGCTGCTGCCACTACAGCTCGGCTCCACGTCCCTCTTCAGCCTCTTCCGATCGACTTGCTCCCTCGGGGCAGGCGGCCGCTCTCGCGTGTGCTTGGAGGAGAAGCTGTAGGAGTGGAGTGAGCCGATAAACCTGCACGCCCCAGACCCCGGGGGGCTGAAGTCGTCCATGGAGATGCCACTCCTATCTGCGGCGCTGTCGGTGGGGCCCGAGTTCTCCTCAGCAGCATCTGCGGCCGACGTTTCTGCCTCTCCCTGGCCACCTGCCTTGGTGGTGGCCACGCTGTCTTCTGAATTTCTCTCCAACAATGGCTGCGTCTCAGCTGGACTGAGGGTCTCACGGTCAGCTCTGGAGGTGGTGGCATCCCGCCCGGCCGCCCGCTTCAGCTTCCTGGGCTCCAGCTTGGCCATGGGGTTCCCGTGCAAAGACGACGAGGACCCTGCGGCCCCCTGACCGTCCGCCCCGCTGGCACGCCCTCTCACGGCCCCCAGGGCCTTGCTGCTCTCCTTCCTCCGGGTGCTGCCATGGCCCCCGGCCGCCCTCTTCTTCTCAGCCAGGTGGAAGATGGAGGGCACGGCAGTGGGCTTGAGGAGGCGGTGCTGGTCCTCCAGCCTTTTGGAGAAGCTATCTTTGGTGAAATGTTCACTGCAGAGGAAAGAGTACTTGGTCGGGGTCCAGTTATCCCTCTGGACGGCTTTTAGCCACTGCAGCAGACGCTTGGAGTCCTTTAAGGGGAACCTACGGGAGACATGACACTCATCAGGAGAAAACGCAAAGCAGGCTGTTTACCAAACACTGAAAACTGTGTCTGATGCTCACGGTTCTTCAAGATACCTTAATAAAAATTTAGGGACCGCCTACTTGCAAAGTTTTACTGGGGAGAAAAAGATTAAAGAACCCTTGTCTACCCTTAAGAAACTTACCATCTACAGGGGAAATAAGAAGACAAGTAACTCCTTCCCAGGGAAGTGGGGTAAACGCCCCAGGGGACGCGGACTACTCTAGACAGGCAGGACAACAGGAAGTCACCCTTCCAGTATGCCAGGGACGCGGGACTCTCTGTGCTAAAGCCAGGGCGCTTGGCCAAACCAGGTGCCGGCCCCTTACTCAGAAGAGGTGAGAGCAGACATGGGAGCGGAGATGAGAGCAACAGGCCACAAGGGCAACCCAAACGCCCAGCGCCCTGCTTGGTTCCAGCTGTGGCAGCTGAGGATCCCGAAGTGCGGAATGTCTCAAAGAGAAGATAAGAGGCGAAAGGTGTATGTGCTTGTGCTTTTCTACTATCCCTCTACGACCAAGGGTAAAACAGCTGCGCTTCAAGAAGACCCTGGATGTGATACTTAATAACCACTTCTTCTGAGATGAAGGAAGGTTAGGGCCAACAGCCATTCGCTCAGGAGCAGTTATCTGCTGCACCTTAACTTAAACCAGAAAGTTCTAAAGAACATGTCCTAAATTCCTTCCTCAATGCCAAGAACACACCGTGCTTTGGGAGCCAGTTTCCCCAGGATCCCCGAGCTCCGATCACTGATACCGTGCTCGGCCTTGGCACCATTCACACCATTACAAACACCAAAAAGCAGCCTTCCTCCCAGAACTGTGCCTCGTTTCCAAAAACAGTAACACAACTCTGAAACAATTGCTCCTTCAGGAAAACGTGGGGGCCGACCTCTGAAATAATCTGATGTTACTAGCTCTTCCGATAAATCATAACCACTTCAGACAACCAATTATTGTTGACTTTCAATAAGCGCTAAAATAAAGATTATAAATGGCACACAGAATTGAGTTTCAACAACTTAAAGGCAGGAGTGTAATATAAAACAAAAGCATCTGCAAGGTGGTTTTAAAAAGTCTCCAGCTCACTTGTGGTCCCTCAGGTGCGCGTCGGCGGAGTCAACCGGATTGACGGGCACTTAGGGAGGGCCGCTGGGAAGAGGGTCTGGAAGCCGGCTAACGCCTGACGGCCTCGTTTCCACGGGCGACCCAGGGAAGCCCACGGCAAGGAGGGCCCCGCGAGGCTCTTGCAGGCAAGCCTCTGCAGGAGCCGGGCGTCCGCCGCTTCCAACGGCCGCCCCCTGGTCCACGGCCAGGCAGACTCCGGCGATACTGCGGCCCCGGGCGGCCCCTGGTGGTCTCCGGCCCGCACCCGACGGCCGCGGGTGGCCCCTCCGCGAGCCCCGGGGGCGTGTCCACGCAGGAAGCGCCCAGGCGAGAGGGCAGCTCCCGCAGGTTGCAGGAAACGCCGCGTGTGGGGCTCCCGGGAGCGCGGCAGGTGGAGGGCCGCGGGGTCGCCGGAAGACCGGCCGCGGGGTCGCGGGG